ACGCACATGACACATAGGAATACAGTGTTACTGTTTATACATACACTAACAAAGGCTGAATACCATATACCTTATATCACAAATGGGATTTCCAATCACTAGGGAAAAAGCCTGCTTAACAAAACATTCAGATGGTTCCAGGAAAAACTGCTAGGAAATTTCCAACTGAAAATTCATTTTGAAATGAACATTTTCATAGAATGTAATATATTCATTCACCTTTACAGAGAAAATTACATGGGGCTGAAAATCATGCCTAAGGGTACAGAAAAATTTATGAACACAAAATACAACATTATAGCCCTGACTTAAATGGAGCTTCAGTCAAACTTAAGTCTTTAGATGGAACGTGCGATGCGGAAAGCCCACAAAGGTCAGGAAAGGGTGTTTGTTAACTTGGATCTTTAATGATCACTTTTGGGAAGAGCACAAGCAACTGTCAAAATGATACTGAAAGCCAACAGCCAGTTATGTGAATAATTTCAGCATATATATATTAGATATTTCCAGAATCATAAATTATATAAATTATAATTCCAGAATAACACACATTTATAAAGTATATAATTCTAGGATCACATATATAAAAAATATTATATAATTCCAGAATCACACACACACACATATATATATATATATTTAGTAATATAATTCCAGAGTCACTACCCAAGTGCCACAGTTTTCCAATGTTGAGAAATGTCCTGTAAGAATGAGGCAAATTATTAACTATGGAAAGCCAAAAGGAGAAGAAACGTGGTTAATACTTTTTTCAAAAACAGAAACATTTAGAATAAGCACTGACTAACAAAGGTAACCACTAGACCAGTGACTACTTAAAAGGGAACCAAAATGAACCAAAGGTTAAAATGAAAACATCCATTATAAATATTTTTCATGTATTACTAATATTTATCTTTCTAGTTTACTTTCCTGTCGCTTTACCAAACAAAATAAGAAATTTATAACATGATATAATCATTTCAACATTTCCTTTTTTTTTTTAAGATGCTTTGGGGGTCAAAATGGAAAAATTAGAACGTTGTACTTGTTAAACAGCGCACCCTTGTGGTTTATACTGCATCACAAGCAATAGAAGCTTTGGCCATATATATTTTTTTCTTTCTGTTATGTTTTCATGTCATTGTTATTACTTTCAGTGACTAAACACATAACATTTATTAAAGTTTCAACTAAATTGTTCAAGTATACGTATAATTTTATTGTATTTTGTATTTTTTACTTAAAATTTAAAACAAAATAGCAACGAAATAAGTAACATTCACTCATAGACATGTTCTGCTGAACTTCACAAGTATTTGAATATAAACAAGATTAACTCAAGAGTTAATTATGACTTATATAAGTATCCTATCTATAGGCCCACACACAAATTAAACCACACAGGACAAATTCAGAGAAGGCAATGATTATTCTTAGAGCGTTCTTCATTAGGAATCAACTCTGTGGAGAAGTGGGACTACAGAGGACACAGGTGGCATCATTCCATTCTGAAAGGATGAGAAGGGAGACTTTACATGAGTAAATGTAAATGTCCTGTTTGGAGTTCAGAGGGTCCTGAAATTGATAAGGAATAGAGGTTTAAAAGGAAAATTGTGATCAGTCAATAGATGAACTTGAGACCCAATAAATGATCATCGATATAGTTTGTGACCTGGGAAGTGGTAGATAAGAAACACAAATGCGCCAGCCAGCCACAGAGGGCAATGTGAAGACAAGGCAAGCAGGTTCGATGCTGACCCTCGACCCTGGATTGCTGTGGCAATGACCTGAACAGAGGGAATGGAGACACTATGAGAATAAATGAAAGCCTGGTCTCTAATAGACGTGAAAACTGTAAGACAGACACACACCGAGATGATTCTGAACTTCTGAATACAGGGTAAAAACGGGGTTGCATGTCGGATGTGCTGATTTCTATACAACGAGTCGGTAAGTATCCATGTGTTCAAATCTAACAGCAAGAAGATGAAGATCAGAATTACAAAACTGGCATAGTAGTTTCCAAGGGATGCTATAAAAAATCTCACACGGCTTAAAACAGGTTCTGAAGGCCAGAAGTCTTAAATCAGAGAAAGGGGAGAGACCTGCTCCCTGCCCTTGCCTACAGCAGTCTCTGGTGGCTTCCAGTGTTCCTATGTGGCAGAACCCCCAGGCTCTCCTGGGTCTGCACATGGCCTTTTTTCTCTTCTGTCTCCATGCTGTGAGAGTCATCTTAAAAGGATCTTAGCCTTTGCACTCTGGCCCAACTTAAAACAAGATGGCGGTAGCTCCCAACTGAAATCCACATGCATGCCCTCTATTCTACATCATGTTTACAAGCACTAGGGCTTAATAAAGAGAGGCAGAGGGTCAAATGAAGACAAGCAAAATGGAAGCAGGATTCCAGAGAAGTAGGATTCTTCTTCCCAGAAGGCACCATGAGGAGAAATGACAGGAAAGCACATGGCTTGGTTCTGAAACAAGAACAATGGGGCGTGGGGAGGAACCACAGGCCTGCAAAATACTCACACCAGCGGCCATTTAGTGGAATTGAAACTTTAGAATCTGCACCTGGTTAAATCAGGACCTCAATACAACTCTTAGAGGAGCATTATTCAAACCACTATTGTTGAAATCCACTCATGAATTTAACAACAACAACAAAATAAATAACCTTTCTTAAAGAGTAGAGTAAGTAAACTTAAGATCAATGATTCGGGTATGACCAGAAATGGGTAATGGATAAAGACAAGAATAGTATTTTTTAAAAAAAGAAAAGAAAAGAAGAAGAAGAAGAAGAAGAAGAAGAAGAAGAAGACGACGACGACGACGACGACGACGACCAAGATGAAGAAAAAGCTAAAAATGAAGGGTGATTAGTCGCATAAAATCCAGCCATGAGTCTAAGTCGTAAGTGCTGGGATGCGCAAGAAGGCATGAGTTCTTGTGTGTACATGAGTAGACACACACACAGGCAAACACAGCCCCGGCTTAATCATTAAGGATTTTGGTAATGAATAAACAAAAATGGTTCCTCAGCTCCTTTGGGGAAAAACAAATAAGTCTGGTTCCTGTTGAACAATACATCAAAGAACTGCCCAGATGTTCCAGATCAAAAGACAAAATAAATGGAAAATTGCAAAAAGATGTGTAATTTGCCAAAGGCAATATACAAGAAAAATTTACTTAACACAGGGCACCAGGTGGTCACAGAGCAGAGGGTGAGAATCAAAGGAACCAGCTTTCTTTCCATGAGGTCGCTGGTGGCATGGCTCAGACATGCAAGAGGCAGACGCTAGGTAGACGATCCAGACTCCTTGGAAATGGAAGCACACAGAAAGCTCCTAGGAAGGCCTAAATGAAGATGGCTGGAACAGACATGACTTCTGTACAAAGGGAAGGCTAGCTTGAAAAGTTACACGAGCATATAAGAGTTTAGTTTTAAGGCAATTAATCTTTGAAAGGTTCTTAGTTCCTATAAATAAGTATAAAGGGGCTACAACACAAAAGGGAGTCTTTAGGACCAGCCTTGTCCTTTCTTCCTTGCCCAGCTGTAGTTTGGTTCTTGCTCAAGCCCAAGCATGCTCTATCCTTGACATTCTGGAAACCGAATGGAGTCTTTCACCCAACTATTGTGCTCCCAAACGCATTTGGGATGAAACACAGAACGCTCCTTTTCTGTGAACCACCATCCAAATACAGAATGAATACCTTGCAAGTTTCGTCAGCAAGTGACTCTCTTGGGGCTGGGAGTAATCATCCCATTGTTTTTGTAAGATGATATTTTTATGCCACAGTACTAACTTAGATAAGAAAATACTAAGTTTTTAAAAGAGTTCATTTCTCTAAGTTGCTAACCATCCAACAGGGGGAATAAAATCCCTCAACTTCAATACTGGAGCACCTCTTAGTGTCTAAGTAACTCAAAATACATTTTGTTGTTCACGTCATTTAAATGGCTCTACCTGACTATAAATAATAGCATAGATGGTGTTATGGCCCATCATATTTACCTAAATCTCATTTATGCTCCACTGAATAAAGCAAGGGAGGTGTGGATATTTTTAAGTAAATCGATCTCATAAAAAGATATATTCAGGGAAACTTTAGCATTAAATATTTTTATTTTAAACTGAGGTAGTCTGGCGAGGTGGCTTAGATGGTAACGGGACAGGCGCCTTCCATCAAGCTTGATGACTCAGGTTCAATCCCTGAACTGACATGCTGGAAGGACAGAACACACTCACATTGTTCTCTACCCTCTACATGCCGCACACAACACACACCTGTACTACAATAAGTAAGTTTTTGTAAACAGAGATAAAGGCTTATATGTACATCATCCCCTCTGGATAGACAATGTAAGTAAAATGGCAGCATATTCTATCAAAAGGCTTGTTTTTTTTTTTTTTTTTTTTTTTTTTTTTTGTTTTTCGAGACAGGGTTTCTCTGTGGTTTTGGAGCCTGTCCTGGAACTAGCTCTTGTAGACCAGGCTGGTCTCGAACTCACAGAGATCCGCCTGCCTCTGCCTCCCGAGTGCTGGGATTAAAGGCGTGCGCCACCACCGCCCGGCAAAAAAGAAAATTGCATTGATAGATCAAGTAGACACTAGGATTTCCCCTGGAGAATCTCTGAAGATACCAAAGGCTAGAAACCCAAGAATGGAACATACAGAGCTGTGTGGTCGTTTAAAAGGTATGTACTGAAGATATACATCTCATTCCTAAAACATGCAACCAGTGTAGAGGAGAACGGAATAAAGCAAGATGAAATTCACAGATCACGCAACAGCTTGAGGAAGGAAGCTTCTTAAAAGGGACATTTATTCAAACTACGGCCCAAGCATCCATGACCTTTTTCTATCAATCTTGTCGGTAATGATTCCACTACTGTTTCTCTCTCAGTAGTCTGTGTGGAGGACAAGTTAGACAGAGAAAAACAGATACCTCCGTGCATCAATCTGAGAAAGAAAACAAACAAATAAACAAACCCAGCACACCTTGTCAGCGTCGTCCACGCTTGTGGATCTCACCACACACGAAGCTCGCCTCTCCTGGCCTTGCACAACGCCCTGCGACGTGGGCATGGGGGGCAGCGGGGCACGCCTTTTCTTGGGCGCGTCCGAGGGTAGTGTGTTGGAAATGTAGGGTTTGGAAATGGTGTTGGACCTTGTAAAAGATGGACGGTGCTTGCTCACGAGCGGGGTCGCAGGTGCGCTGGCAGTCTAAAGGAGAATCAGAAGGCAATGGCTGTTTATAATCTAAATAAAAACCACCTTAAAAATACTTGGTAAGAGTCTTAACATGCTGCATGAGAATGCTTACCTGCTCCCGCTTTTTTTTACTACGCTGGAAAAAGCTGAAAATCCCTCGGTTTTCCTTCTCCTTCACAATGTCTGGGGTCTGTAATATTTGGCAGGACTCTGAAAAAAGATGAAAAACCATTTCCTCTTTGTTCCATGGGTGTAACGTTCATTTCCAAGGTTTCTTTTCTCGTCTCCCCTTTGATGGCGTTTCTGGTGATAAATGTTACCAGTAACAGCCACTCGCTAGGCAGCATATACCTCATCCAATTCTCAAAGCGACAAAAGAATGCAGTCACCGCAGTAGACCAGAGGGAAGGGAAGCTGAAGGAATTGAAGACACACAGCCAGGGCCACAAGGCACAGCTAGAAAGTAAACTCAGCTCCACAGGCTGCATCAAGACCAGCATTCCAGAAGCAAAGTAAGAAGGCTACCGCACAGTGACCCATGATGCTTGTCCCACCCAGCCTGTCCTTCTGCTGATTTCAGCTACAATTTTGTCAGAGCTAAATAGCCATGAAGTGTTATTTCACTCTCAAAAACATGAGCCGTTATAATTACAGCTGCCATGCTATAGGCAAGTATGCTTCAAGCGAACCAAACAAGCCGCACATGGAAAATTCTCCAAGAAAATTAAACCTGTATTGAACACATACAGATTTTTTTTTTCTCCTTGCCATCCATCCTGATTGAAAACCCACTATAATGACCATTTACAAGGTACTGGGTGTCACAGCAATCCTGAGATGACTTAACACATAAGAGGGGGTGGGTGGGCATAGGAGGGGGTGGGTGGGCATAGGAGAGGGTGAGGTGGGTAGAGGCTATTTGCAAACACTAAGCAATTCTTAATCAAGGACTTGAGTTTCCACAGATTTTGGTACTGCAAGGGTCCAGAAGCAATCTCCCCCAGGCACTGAGGAAGAATGGGCCAAATCATGTCTCATACATGCTATTTTCTTAACCTAAGAGTTCTAGTAGGGCCAGAATTACCAGGCCGTAAAGGTTAACGGTGCTAAAATTGAACATTAGTTAGAATGGCAAGCATCAAATTTCAAGGCTGTATCCAGAATCTTTCTTTAAAATCCTGCCCTCTCACCCACCCCCCAAAAAAGCCTATTTCCTAATGTCAACGGAAAGGATTTATAACCAAAGGCCAAGCCAGCACCAAGGCCACTGTGTCCCAGTATGCTTCCAGTACAGTATCCAACTGAAAAGAACCATTGCTGCTTTGAATTAGCTGATTTGCTGTTTGTATAAAGCAAGGAGATACAAAGAACTCGTCACGTTAGGGTGAAAGTTACCACAGTCCAGTGAGAATCATACCAAAGGACTTAGGAGCCATCTTATAATGGTTTGGACTGGCAAAATGTAGGACAATTTAATATCTATATAGTGAAACATATCACATGGGCATGAGGAACTGAATTCGGATTCCCTGAAACCTCATAAGGCTGAAGGAGAGAACACCCATCTATAATCCGAGCACTCCTACTGTGTGATGGGAATCAGACAGGAGAATCCCGGGAAGCCCGTGGGCTCGGCATGCACAGCAGTAAGGACCCTGTCCCAAATGAGGTGGAATACATACAACGAACAATCTGCTCCATGCATGTCATAGCGCACACACTTTTGTGCTGGTATACCACTGGCCCTCCACATCCATACACACAAGATTAAACAAAGAAATGCTGGTAGCTAAAAGGAGGATTGCATAAGACTAGTACCCTTTCTCAGTTCCTTAAGGCGCACACAGCAAAGGCTGATGATTAGCGATGTTATTAATGTGTCTCTAAGTGGAAGTGCAAACCACTATTTAACAAAAGTGTTTTGTTTTCCTGGAGAAACGGATCTCTCTGTGCAGCTCAGGGTGGCCTTGCAGCCCTTGGCTTACACAATTCTCCTCCTCCACCTCCTGCAGAGCTAGAACTACAGGCAAGCATCATTTGGTGCTTATGAAGTATCCTGGCCACAAATGATCTCACCCAAGCCTGTCAAGTCTCTGATTTATAGTCAGTTGACGGGAACAAATACCCAGAGGGTGCATGGGGCCAATCCTGGAAGACAGAGACTATGAGATGAGCCATGGAGCCAAAGGACTTGCTGTCTTTAGCAAAAGAATTATAAATTCAGAGGTGGGGGGGGGCTGTGGAAAATATCTCTTCCACAAAGACATGAGGTTTATGCAAATTATAGTGCAATTTTAATGATATTTAAAACAAAGCACTTCTCATAAAAACTTGAGAGAAAGCTTACAAGGACTTAGAAGGAAATGTACAATCTTAAATGATTTTATTTAAATAAGTATTTAAACAATAAACAAATGGTGAAAATGTCCTGACTACTGAAGAGAAGCAGAGAGAGTGAGCTGGTTGCATTTTTTTTTTTTTTTTTGGAGTGTGTGTCAATTTGACCCAAGCTATGGTTGTCTGGAAAAGCGGGGGAGATTTCAATTTAGAAAAGGCCTCCCTCACCAGATTGCCTGTAGGCAAGTCTGTGGAGCACTTTCTTAATTAATAAGTGATGTGGGAAGGCCCAACCTCCTGTGGGTGGTATCATCCCAGGGCTGGTGATATTGGGTTGTATGAGAAAGTCATAGCCTCTGCTTCAATTCCTGTCGCCAGGTTCCTGCCCTGCTTGAGTTCCTGCCTCAGCTGCCCTTAATGACAGACTGTGAGCAGGACCTTTTCCTTTTCAAGTTGCTTTTGGTCACAGCGTTTTTATATCCCAGCAGTGAGAAGGAAAATATGGCAGGCAGCTAATATCGCAATACGCATTAGTGCAGTTGGTCACAGTAACACACTAAAGGAAAACTGCATTCCAGAAATTGAAACACCAATAACTCCAACACGAACAAAGTAGGGCACACTGCGCAAGGGCCTTCCTAAGGCTGACAAGGAACCGTGAAGGCATGGGCAGGGCCACAAGGCTAAAGGGTCTTCTTATGCTTTACTTCTGAGAACACCTCTGTGAAGGAGGAAACAAGAGCTTCCTTCTGAGCTATTTTTCCCCCACTGGTATAGGTTACCAGCGGTGTGACAAATAAAAACAAAAGCAAAACAAAGCCCAGCATTCTATTTACATTTAAGGAAGCAAGTGCCCAAATTTGAATAACTTGGGAACTCACGGATCCATTCAGCAAGTATGGTCAGAATATGTCAAATCATGCTTCCTTTGGGACAGCTGGCACCCCCACATACACAGCAGGTCAGCCCTCCTCAATTAAAGCTATGTGCAGATCACTGAGTTAAACATTAAGACACATGAAGCCTTGCCATTATTAAGGAAATTGGCTCAAGCACTGCAACTTCCTGATTCTAGAGAGAGACCAAGAGTCCCTCCACGCACAGTCTGAAGGCTTTTGCTGACACCCCACCAAGTCAGGGGGGTAAGAACATCTACTGGGTTTGGATTGACCGGCTGAACTCTGACACTGTAAAATGAGCTCTCCTGCCTCCACAAGTCCAGTGGTGGGTGGGTTCTGTTCACAGCAGTTAAGCCTCTGAAAAACCCCATTCACTGAAGGCCAGGCTAGAAGGGACATTAGAAATCAATTCCTTAAACACTTTGAAGATCATGGAACGCGGTCAGGAGCAAGCCAAGTATAAGCACCACTTGTAGAAGGAAGCAAAGACAATTTGTCCCTATTTCCCGACTATCCCAGAAGTAAAATGCAGACATATAAAGATACCCTCCCTCGAAAGTTGCCACCCTGGGTTAACAGCCAAGGGAGCGTCAGAATTAAAGAGCCTAGTTTCTAAGTCTCTGCCAGGGTATATTTTAAGATAGGAATTTTTACCTCCTTTGATTAGACTAGCCTGTAATAGCCACCAAGAATAAATCAACACATACTTGCTCCTGTAGGCTTACTGAGAAAAGCCTGGTAACCCTGGTAACATGTAACATGCAGTTTAACAAGGTTTTGCTTTTAGGCAGGGTAGTAACAATCAGACAGATCAGAGATCTGAGCCGATTCTTTTTTAATGGAGAAAAAAAGGTTCCTAAATTCTATTATCAAATAATTTTAATCAAATTGTTCCTATGAAAGTAATATATATATTATAAATCCTATAACATAAAGAAATTAAAAAAAAACTTGCTCACAGACCTAGCTCTCAAAGCAAATTAGTATTAAACTTTTTATGTATTTCCTTTCGGAAGTTTAACATAAAACACGCTTTACACTACAGTATTAAATGCCTTTATAAGCCTTTAAAGTAAATTTTAACATAAAATTTTCATGCTATTATAAAATCCTCACAAAAAATTACATGGCAGCACAAGGAAAAAAAAATGCTGTGATTCAAGAGCAATGCCCACCTCTCCCAACAGCAGCACTCTGTGAGAAGCGGCTCAGACCCTTCCGTGGAACCACCCGAGCATTTGTCCATGCTCGTGTCCAAGCAGGCTCCTACCCAAACCATTTTCCCCTACGTGAGAGGAACTAATTCATTTTCCCACCCTTTTAGCACAATACATTTCCCATATTATTTTTAGTGTATGGGATTTTTAAAAACTGTATGTAGTTAAGGCTGGCCTCGAACTTGGAACCCTTGAACACCCCCTAAGCAATAAATTACAGATCTATATACTATTACAGCCAGTTCTAGAATGACATCATTGATCAGCACTCTGTTGATTCAAATTTTTTAATTAGAACCAGAAATCAAAAGAGGGAACCTGTAAGTTCTTTTTTTAGGAAATTAAACCCCCAAAATTTTCTCAGTTAAAATCTCTTATGGGATATATGTGTTAGTAATGTTAAGGAAATAAGATTAGAATCCCAGTTTTAATCGGTCCAATTCTGTGTTATAATTTACAACTTCTACTGATTCATGTATCTTACCTTGGAGAGATGACTTACGGAAGGCAGTGACAGAGGGGGCTACAGCAAGAGGGAGTAAAAGAGGGGAAATGACTGTGATGATAATGTCCGTTTACTATTAAACATCACTGACTCAAAACAGCAGTCTGAGGATTCCACTGTACCACACCCTCAGAGTAATGTCTGAAATTCTCTGTGCAGCGTGCATTAACTGTGTCCTCCACTACACCCTCATTTCCCCAAATGAAAGAGATTCACACTGAATATCTAAAGCTGCTTTGGGTCTACCAGGCATGGGGGGGCAGGAGGTGGATATCAACCTCATTTGACATCTCCACATGTTGATGCATCCCCCTCTTTGTACGAACGAAAACTCTGCTGTCTAGAAAATTTGGGGAAGTATTTATGATTCATTTTCTATGCAAGTTTACTCTGGGTGCTGACCTAAGAAAAGAATTCAATAAACGTCTCATATAAAACTGTATTAAGTCTTCATAAACAAACTACCCCTTCATTAGAACAGCCATGGGCTGGCACAGGAGTATCTACTTGATTTAAATCCCAAAGGCACAAGAAAGTAAGTTAAACCCCAAAGCAGGACATGGTGGCACGAGACTGTCATCCTAAACTACTGAATGAGTTGGAACAGGAGAATTTCTTGAGCTCAGAAGATTAAGCCCAAGCTAAGCATCCTGATGAAACCTGACCACAAGAAGAAAAAAAAAAAAAGCTACCAAAATATAAAATGTGATGGTAGCCAAGAGGATCAGTTTTTCTTCCCATTTTAGTAACTGCTATGAAATTAAATTGCACAGTTGGTTTGATTTATTTATTTCTATATTTCTATTCAACTTCTTCTTATCCTCTTTCCATCCATAAGATTGATCCATTAAATCACTGGCATTATGAAGCTGGGAGCACCTATCTATACACACTACACAAAGCACACAACACACAAACACACACAAATCGTTTAAGTGGGGAAAGGGGAAAAGTCTGCTTACCTCTGCTGATATCCATGGCATATAACTCTCTTAGTCCCAAGTCATTAAGAGACTTCGTCAAGTCCAGGGGCTCCTGAGCCTGGTAGTCCTTCAGCAACACTGTATGCAAGGGATCAAACTCACATTTACTGCATATAATGGGAGCAAGATCTTGCAGCGGTGCATGGGGACTAACTCTCACTATGGTCTTCTGGGTTTTCTTAAAGTTGATCACTACTCGGACAGTTTTCTGAAAGGTAAATTAAAGTCACAGTTACAACACGATTTATTTACTAAAACAACACTTCCACAAACACATCTAGAGCACTATCTAGAATAGTTGACCATAGTTCTGTAACATTGGGATTAAATAGCTATACTGTGGGTCGTTTTCTGCAACAAACTCTCTGCAGCGCTACCCAGAGTGACGCATTACTCAAGGCTTCCATTTCTTCAGAAAAACAGGTTCTTTCTGTCCTTTTCATCTCCTAGTGGGAAATTTTCCTTCTCATTAATGCTATGTCCTAACTTTAAAACAAATTCTAAGAAAAGAAAAATTTCAGTTTTTTAATTTTTTTAATGATCCTGGGGATTGAATTTAAGGTTTTCATTAATTTCATGCTAGACAGGTGTTCAACTACTATGCTATGTACCTGGCCCTCTTTCCAATTTTCATATTAATACAGAGCGTCAGTAAGTCATTCTAGCTGGACTTGAACTATCAATCGATAGCCAAGGTATGTCTTGAATTTGTGATCCTGCTGACATAGCCTAAGTATCTGGAATCACAGCCATGCACCAGGCCTAGCTCAATTTGTTTCTTTAATAGTTAAATTAAATTCAAAATTCTTTTTATTTTATTTGGTTTTTTATGAGACAAGGTTTCTCTGTGTTGCTTTGAAGCCTGTCCTGGAACTAGCTCTTGTAGACCAGGCTGGCCTTGAATTTACAGAGATCCGCCTGCCTCTGCCTCCCGAGTGCTGAGATTAAAGGCATGCACCCCCACCGCCCAGACAATTCAAAATTCTTTTAAGTTTGTATCTATTTAACTGTTTTATTTTTATTAGTTTTCTGAGACAGGGTTTCTTTGTGCAGCCCTGGCTATCCCAGAACTCACTCTATAGACCCAGGCTGGCCTCAAACTCACAGAGATCTGCCTGCCTCTGCCTCCCAAGTGCTGGGATTAAACGCATGCATCATCACCACCCAACTAAAATACTTGATAGTAAAATATTAAGCACATTTATATCCAACAAGGACAAAGGCTCATATGATAATAAAATATTAAGCACATTTATATCCAACAAGGACAAAGGCTCATATGTGGTGTTACTAATATTTTACATTGTGTCTTAAAGTATTTATTTTCACATTATCAAATGTGCACAATAATAATAATATCTATGTTTATATGTTGTTTTGTATTTAAAGAATGTTTGCCTTGTAATAGGGTGTCAATAGCTCATGAAAAAAACAGTATTTAAAGACATACTATTCTAATAGAACCAATCACATCAACCACACTAAGAGCCTAGCATCATTCCAGGCACACGGTCAGTTGTAAGTAAGAGAATACTACAATTGTCATTGACGTTTCGTGTTTATATTACAATTGCCCCAATTAGCTCTAACATAACAGTAAAGAATATCAAAATCATCCTTACTTAGACATACTACCAATTCCAAAATTATTGGCACTCATTTAAGTGTCTCCCTATTCTGATGTAACTGGATTAAACCCATTAAATATGGAACTCTGTTATAAGTAGCTACACTAAGCAAAATCCAGTTTTCAGATCCTCAATAATGTTCATTCATAAAACTAAAATCCTGTATGTAACCGAGGGCCCCCTGAGACTGATAATCTATTTGCTACATAAATAAAATTGCCCCAACATGGATCAATAGCATTGCATACAGCAGGGACATTTAGACCTAGACTAAAGACAGACTTATTAATATTTAACGTTCAATCAAATATTAAAGCCAAAGTTTTATAATGAAATCTTTGTCAACGTTTTTAGTAAATTCTTATAAGCATGAAGACATTATAAGAATGTATGTATTCAAGTCAGTACGCAAAATTTTATATATTTTATGCAGTAAACAATGTTGATGTTTACAACGCAGAAGTATTTTTCAAAGTCATAACTGTATACACCTCTGTTTATAGCAGTAACTTTTTGAGAATAATTTTAAAAGAAAAGTAAAGTAAGCTCTATAAACATGAGATCACTGGTGGAATGTTTATCTAGCAAATATGAAGTCCTGGGTTTGGTATTGGTCAAATACACAAATAAATAACGGTAAGAATATCAAGAGAATAAATTAGCATTATCGTGCTTCAAACTTTCTGGATAAAATTCACACGTTAAAAACTACTAAGAATCTGAATAGATGGCTCAGTGGTTAATAATGTGTACTGTACAATCGTGATCCATGGAACAAGCCAGGCGTGGTTTCACACATGCCTACAGCCCCAGTATTGTGGGGTCAGAGACAGGAGAACCACTGGCACTTGCTGCCTGAGTAACTAGAAAGCAATAGCTCCAGGTTCAGGGAAAGACCCTGCCTCAAAGGAGAAGGCAGAAAGCAATAAAGTTAGGATACTCGTTCTCCTTTCCTGGCCTCTGTATGTCCACCTGAACATTTATTACACACACACAAAAACAATTATTTAAAAAAAGAGCTACTTTATAAGATAATAAATGGTGATTTGAGTGTATGTTGTATTTATGACTTACAAAATTTATATTAGTCAAATATATTAAATATCTATCGGTTTTTTAAAATATCATGTAAATATAAAATATTTCAAAGCATAACTTAAACATGAATTACTGTCAGATGCTGATGTAGCCAATCCTGTCATTTTTAGAGCATTTGATACCTAAATTGTTCCACCAATTCTAGTTGACCCAAGAATGGATAACCAGCAGATAACAAAGTAGTTTGGGGAAACATGATAACCATATTCTAAAAAGCCAGATCAGAAATCTAATTTTATTTCATTTATGATGAACCATAAATATTGACTTAAAAAAATCAACTGACTGTCTCAGCCATATGAACATCAAAATCTGTGATAGAATTCTTACCTCTGGGATTATCGGTGTAGGCTTCTTCTTGTCCAGAGATTTTGGCTTTAAAATGACCTTCTCTACCTCCAGCATTCCTATTGGTGTGTTTGGCTTATATTTGATGAGATTCTCTTCAGCAGAAAGTAAGTCAATTGTGTGGCTTGACGGATTTAAGTGATATTGTGCACAGAGGAACACGAGCAAGTCCATCATTGGCTTACTGTAAGACAGGAGGAAGGATGATCCTTAGAGTCCAACAGACTGTGCAACTTAACTGTTTGGAGAATCCTACTCTGGTCATGTTTGTCTTCAAGACATAAAGCAAGGCCACAAGTCAGAGTTGTGAGAGCAATGTAAACATCTCATGATCAAGAAGACAAAATCCAGGCAGATTAAAGGCGATGGTTAGAATGTTTCAGATTTTAGAGGATAGGACTGGTTCAGAGATTTTCTACATATTTTTATTTGGCAGATTTTTACATTATAAATTGTAGGAGTCTTTCCTTACCCAGGAACAGTCGCTTGCTTTATAACACAGTCCTCCATGTTAGAACTTGCAGTCCTCAGCTCATGAGCAGACTACAACCAAAGCACTAGTAGAATAAAATACCTCCTTTGGGGTTTTAAACTGTGCGTGTATGTGTAACATATATTTAGTGAACAAATATATAAGGACCCCCAAACTTCTAACAAGCCCTGTGTGTTCTCACATTACTCACAGAATACTCAGTATTCCCTAGGTTCTGCTGTTACTGCACAGGTATTATGCCATGCCTGTTGCGGGAGGTCCTCCCACTCCTCCAGCCTATCACCGCTGAGGTACCAGCCCACTGGGGAGTGGTTTCTCTCCCTTTAAAAAAGCGGCCACTTCCCTCTCCTCTCTCTCTTCACTTCCTGCTCCGCCGGCGACTAGACTCCTTTCCTGGTTGCGTAGAGGGCTGTTGCCTGGGACAGTGATCTGTAAGTTTTTTCCCCTTTAAATAAATACCACCCTAATAATCATAACCCCGAATTGGTGTGGCATTGTTTGTGACTTACGCCTTCACATGCCTGTTCCAAAAACTCTACTACACTCTTTCACAGACCGGACCACATGTCAGCCACTATACTTTGCGACCCCCACCCCCCAACAATCTGCTGGAAGCCTAGGCAGACACAACTCCCTATGTACCCATAACCGGGCCTCAGCCTTGTGATTCTCCTGCCTCAGTCTCCCTAGTGCTAGGAGTACAGCTGTGTGCCATTATGCCTCCTTTCTGTTTTCCGCTTTTTAAATTGAGATTTTTAGGGTGTATCGTGCCTGTCACTGTTATGACTCGTTAATATAATGCCTCAGGCTGCTTTTTTGTTACAGAGGCAGACTGAGGTTGGTGTGGCCTGAACATTCTATGGCCTACAAAGCTTAATAGTTTTTATCTGGCCCTTGATATAAAAAGTTGATGGGTCCTTCTGTAAAGCAATAGAAGTGTTTGAGTTTTTAACAATTAATGGTCGACAGGAGAATACAGGGCTGATCTCTAGGCAGAAAAAACTTCCACAAGATTCTTGCACACCCAGCATGGCATTTGGGGTACTTCTCAGCTTGGGAGTCCCCTTTCCATGGGTACCACCTGCTGATACACAATTAAGTTGTTTTTTGTGGGTTTTTTTTTGTTTTGTTTTGTTTTTCGAGACAGGGTTTCTCTGCAGCTTTGGAGCCTGTCCTGGAATTAGCTCTTGTAGACCAGGTTGGCCTCAAACTCACAGAGATCCGCCTGCCTCTGCCTCCCAAGGGCTGGGATTAAAGGCGTGTGCCACCACCTCCCGGCCTCAATTAAGTTTTTGTTCACATTAACAGAACACTGTGGTCCTGGCCTTTCTTAATTGTCAGCCCTTTAGGAAAAGGAAATTCTGAAATCTTAAAATCTTTTGTATGACATTTTCCTCAAATGCCTGGTAATCCTGAACCTTTCACACTTAAGACAAAATCATCACAACAATGCACAAAGTTCCTGTTTTGTTGTTGTTTCTTGGTTTGTTAATTTGTTTGTTTTTTGGTTATTCGAGATAGGGTTTCCTTGTGGAGCTCTGGCTGTCCTGAAACTCACTTTGTAGACCAGGCTGGCCTCAAACCCACAAAGATCCACCTGTCTCTGCTTCCCGAGTGTTGGAATTAAAGGTATGAGTCACCAAGCTCAGCTGCATCCTGTTTCTTATTTCTTTTTTTTTTCTTTTGTTTTTAAATTTATTTATTTATTAAGGATTTCTGCCTCCTCCCTGCCACCGCCTCCCATTTCCCTCCCCCTCCCCCAATCAAGTCCCCCTCCTTCATCAGCTCGAAGAGCAATCAGGGTTCCCTGACCTGTGGGAAGTCCAAGGACCGCCCACCTCCATCCAGGTCTAGTAAGGTGAGGTCCAAACTGCCTAGGCTCCCCCAAAGCCAGTACGTGCAGTAGGATCAAAAACCCATTGCCATTGTTCTTGAGTTCTCAGTAGTCCTCACTGTCCGCTATGTTCAGCGAGTCCGGTTTAATCCCATGCTTTTTCAGACCCAGGCCAGCTGGCCATGGTGAGTTCCATGGGCAGAGGGGGCTTTCGTGGACTTTGCTTTAGGGAAATCTGTGACCAATCACCCCCTTCATTTTTGGGGAAATATAAATGCCAATAAAAATGATTGCCTAATTTCAATTCTAATTGAATAACTGAAATAATTCTAATTTCAAATCAACTTGAAACTAGCTACTGGATTTCGGGAAGCCTTAGAAAAAAATATGTACTGAGAACTTGAGCAAATTTGCGTGGCAGCTTTGTTCTCTACAAAGCTGTGCCATCAGCAATAACAGGGGCTGGTATCTTTTCCAAGTATACCAAGGTCGAATGGCTAAAACATGTAAGAGAAGCCTCAGCCTTGGACACGAACACACCTCAGAGTCTTCCTCCACCAGAAGGGTAAGAATCACAGTCCAGCTGCGCCAAAAAGGAGCCACAGCACTATCAGACAGCACTCAAACCTGAAGCAGGGCCCACGTCCGAGGGTCACAGCTAGACTTGGCTAGTCACATACCGCTCCCACAGAACATAAAGTCGTCCTGCAACATACATGAGAAGAGCCCAGCCAAGTGCCAAAGTACTTTGGTCAAAGACAACAATTTCGGTTTAGGAATGACTGTCCTGATGTGATGTGACAGACGGCAGCTAGCAATCAGATTTGGCCACAGATTTCCTCGAGAAAAGTACCATTTTCCTGTAGCCCAAGGCAGGAGCATCTGTGACCCAAAGCAAATTAGTGCAGTGGTTAAGGAGCATGTGCACTGGACGGACGCAGACTCACGGACATGCACACTGGCCTCCTCTCATCGCCACATCGCTGTGAATTCTGATTAATCACACTACCTAGATGCAATGTTACTATTATTATTGTTTTTATATTATCATCAATTCTTACATTACATGATTTCCTGGAAGGCATATTTTAAAATATTTAAAACAGCTAATGTTAAGGGGGGAAAAAAGGTCTTTAGAAACTCTCTTTGATATGAAGGAATCTCTATGAGATCTCCAACTTTTTTTACAAACAAATGATAACCTTTTGTATTTAACTCCTGTCTATTATTTCATTTGAGCTCGCATCCACGATTAAAGCTATTCCACCACTATGACTGAACCAAAGGAGGTTAGGAAATCATATTATACACAATATACACGACAGCTATAATAATCATCGGATTAAGATCTTCTGACTCTCCAATTCAGAGTTTCTAGCTACATTTTAGCATCCTCATGATTCAAGGTAGTGTCCACGGTGTTGAAACAGATGGTCAAAACAGCCTATCTGCTTTGTGTTAGAACTTTACCGTAGAGATAAAAGGCTTCATCAACTCTTCCCTACATCCTCTGGGACACTTCCGTATCTGGGACACAGAGTAGTAGTAATCTTAACCTGGTTTTGATAATGGATGGTTAGAGCTTCTATTTCTGTGTTTTAAAGATCCAGTTGGACATCAAAAGATACAGGTCACGATGCAGTAAAGGGCTCCAAGAACAGGCAGACTTGCAGAAATGATATAGGTGGATTGCCAAGCTTGCCCACGTTTAAACAAGGTCATTTTCCAACAGGGTGCCTGGGTAATTTTTCATTCAATCTGGGACAGCTGAGAGCAAAGGAGTGCTTGCCCTTAGTAATGACTCGGGAATAAAGGGTACTAACAGAACACTCTAGAAAACAGGAACAGATGACAATGAGTGAAGAGATACATTTTAAGCAACATAAAAATAAGTAAGATTCTTTCTGGTAAGTTTTAAAATCTTCCCCAGTCTCTAACAATGAATCTCATGCGATTTCAACAAATTCTCAAAACTGCTTTGCGTTGAACTGTTTCTCTGCCTTCCGAATGCATGCCAACAACTGCGTGAGATCTATGCAGTGAAGGGCTGACAGAGGATGAAAGGGCGCTTGCTACTGTGTGTCCAAGACAGAGAACACAGCTCACCGTGGTTTTAAGGAGCACTTAATTACACTACGAGAAACCAGGAGACAAAACACAACCAGCAAGACCTGAAGGCAGTTAACGCTTGAACAGGTCATTGTTAAACTGGGAAACGGTTTCATAACCAACACTAAAAACAAAGGGAGAGTAAAAAGTCTTCTTTTAGAGCCATCATTTCATACTGTAGTTTACATGATCATTCACCTTTAATGCTATTTCCATAGCAAATTATAAATAATTACCGTTATTTTAAAAAAGAAAAACCCTGGCCAGGCAATGGGGGCACACACCTTTAATCCCAGCACTTGGGAGCCAGAGGCAGATGGATCTCTGTGAGTTCAAGGCCAGCTGGGACTACAGAGTGAGTTCCAGGACAGTCAGGGCTACACAGAGAAACCATGTCTCAGAGAGAGAGAGAGAGAGAGAGAGAGAGAGAGAGAAAGAAAGAGCCTTTAATTAAAAAAGAAACCTACTGTAACTGCCATGCCCCTTCCAGAGCTCCTACTGGTCTTGACAGCAACAACACACATACACAAATCATTACATCCTAACACAAATAAAAACAATCTAACAAAAAAGAATATATCTACTAAATATAACACACACACGCACACGTATCGTTGTAGTATGGTCTGTCTTTGTTATTAACTTGACTGAGTCTGCAATTACCAGGAGAAACATCAGAGCTTGTCTCTGAGCCCTTTTTTCAATACTAAAAGTTCTGCAAGTACTACATTGCTTCTTTGAGGGAATGTTATGCTTTTCTTCTTCAATGGTGAGGTGAAAAGGTCACTAAAGAGGCCCTGTTTGTTTAAGTTTACATATTAAGTCTACTAGAAGTAAAGACGGTGACGGCAGAAGGAAACTGAAGCTAAGCAGAAAAGCAGAGAAAGCAGGAATTTGTTAGAAACTAACAGAGCAGCGCAAAGAGACTCCTGTAAACACAGCTCAGTTCTCGATATGCTCACAACAAATGGAAACTCAGAGCTGAGGACCAGGGCCTCTCACTGCATGGAAAATAATTAAAAAGGAACAAAAAGGGGGTGGGATTCTCGTGGTGCTGGCTAGTTTTATGTAAGCTAAAGTCATCTGAGAAGAGAGAAGCTCAATTAAGAAAATGCCTCTGAAAGCTCCAGCTGTAGACATGCACATAGGGCATTGTCTTAATTAGCGATTGATGGGGAGGGAGAGGGCCCAGGCCATCGTGAGTGGTACCATCCTTGGGCTGGCAGTCCCGGGTTCTGTAAGAAAGCAGGCTGAGCAAGCCCGTAAGCAGCATCCTTCCATGGCCTCTGCATCTGCTCCTGCCTCTTGAATTCCTGCCCTGCTTCTTTTCCTGCCTGACGTCCTTCAGTGATGAACAGCCGTTTGGAAGTATAAGCCTCTTCAGGTTGTCTTTGGTCATGGTGTCTCATCACAGCACTAGAGACCTTAACTCGGACAATGACCAAACCAGCCTGGAAGAATGCTTGGGATTTTTTGTTGTCATTTTACTTGTCCTTTTGAAATAAGGTCTCTTAGTCACAAAGTTGCTACTTAGCTGAAGATAAATGACCTTCTGATCTTCCTGCCTGTAGCTCCCAGCTGCTGGCTACAGACCTGGTTTTACTTAACATTTTCAATAAGCACAACTATCTGTGAACTTTTGAGTTCTGTTATCCATACCTGCTTTGTTTTAATATAAACTGACTCACAATGGTGTCGCCTGTCATTTTTATGAGTCTACTTACTTCCAATAGGTGGCACTCTACTCCCTGTGAATGCCCTGAGTAGGCTGCTGATCTGCCCTGTACCAGTTGGACTAGCTCTTAGTGGCACTAGACAAAGCATGCATAAGCCACAGGTTTTATGTCAAATATCTCTGGTCATTTAACACAAAAAGCCAAGAGCGCTCAGCTGATGTTTCCGAGATCACAGTAAGCCATGAAGCAAAGTGTAATTCCTAGCTGGGCGTTTCTACTTTGAAGTTTGGGGCGGTCTCTCTTTTTTTCCGTAAGATTTTTCCCTTTTACAGTTACAAAGAGATGATAGCCTAAGTCTCCCCATTAGCTAACACTCTTAATACATAGACTATATTTTACTATTTGGAACACTTTTGTGCTTATTACCACCTTTTAAAATAATGGTTCATCGGTTCCTGGAACTGTTAAAGACAGTTTTAATCACACTCACATCACACCCCTAGTGTACTCGGGAAATACCTAAAAAGTATTGCAAGAAAGTATCACAGACTCAAAAGCACACAGTGGCTTTGCACCATCGACATTTCAAATCATCATTAGTGTTCTATCCGAAAGACTCAAAAAAAATGACCACACACAGTTAGCTCTTGGGTGGTAAGACGAGTAGAAAGAAGCAAGCTGCTACATTAAAACCTGAGAGCAAATAAATTCCAACTTACAAAACTTGAACCCTAAACAAAATTTTTGAAGAATTAGAGACAGTTCCTTTGAGGGCATTTCTACCGTGATCGCTACTTGGAAAGAATGGCTCAGCAGTCAAGACTTTTCCAGAGGACCCAAGGTTGGTTCCCCAGCTCCAGAGGATCTGACACTTTCTTCTCGCCTCCACATGTACAGGCAGGAACACACACAAGCACACATACACCACGCACGCACACGCACACTCATTAAAGGCAAAAGGCATCTTTGTTTTTTAAGGATAAATATGTAGAAAGCATGGCACGAAACACTACATTCTAGCACATGAAGAATCAAGAATGTGGAAGTGAGATGAAGCAGGTGATTCTGGGCTATCAGGATGTTTTGTATAAAGTGTTATGTGAGCCTACATAAGCTGACTGGAAAAAAAGAACAGACGGAAGTCCTGGGGAGGGCTGGGGTGGTGTTCATAACTTCAATGGTACTGAGGGTTTTTGTTTTTTTTTTTTTAAAGTACCTGTCAAAGAACAAAGAGTCATGTGGTAAGGCTTAAGATATATAAAAGAAGGCAGGGAAGGACAAACCTACTTAATTTCAGAGGAGAAATTAACATATCCCAATCTCCACGGTTCCTTGATTTTGTACTGAACTGCCACTGTTGCACAAACGGAGAGGAATCTGTGTGGAGCCATAAAGGGGGAGAGCCCAGCTGAAGGAAATCAGGTCCCTGTACAAAAGAGTTTGGGGGTATGGCTCGGTGATACAGAACTTCCCCAATGCTGGCTTTGAACCTCAGCATCATCTCCCCACAACTAAAAAGGGCAACTATGTGCCAACCAGGGATAGCATTTCATGTAATCCTAGCAATATACCATGTGTTATTTAATCCTAACAATTCAGGCACAAAACATTTTTATAGATAAGCGAATATTGCAAATCAACAACAGCTGGGCTTGAACACACAGAGAAGTTGACTGGTGGAAAATTACTCAGGTTTGAGGAATGGAGAAGCCAAAGAGCTAGAAGGCGAAAGGTGTGAAGAGATCTACGGTCCTGGCAAGAACACACATAGCAAAAATGATTTGCAACCTTCAAGTCACATATATGAAGAAAAATCAGATCCAAAAAAATAAGAAGACAGGCCATTATAAAATCAGTTTAGACTAGAAAGGAAAGGAGGAACAAATTCAAGTCATCCAAGTCGATTCCTGGGGCACCCCAGAAGAAAAGCTCGCCGGTGATGAAACCAGCCTTATCTGTACACCTTAGAGAAAAGCAGGAAAACCGAACTGCTGCAAATACGCTTTACTGCCTCCACCAAGGCAATTCCCATCCCTGTTTAAGTCAAGCTATGACATCAGAGTACGGATGTGACGGTCACTGTCTGCCAACTCCCTCCCCAGAAGAGTGCAGTCAGAGGTAGGAGTACACCACGGATAGTCACAAGTATAAGCAACCTCATAAACAGGGTTCCATGAAGACACAAGAAACCCTAAAACTCTTGCCACTACAAAAACAAATGGAAAAAAAAACCATAACTTACTAAGATTTAAGGAGACGGTAAGACAGTTATGAATTATTTCCTAATGCCGAATTTATTTTATGTTTATCAATTTTTATAATATTATAGCGTTACATAAGACTTTAATTAATCTAAAACTGCAGTTATGCTGAGTGAGGGTTTTACAGGAAGCCACAGCATTAGAATGCAATGACCAACACAATGCTTACTTCTTGTGCCGCACATGCGCAGATTCATGCTATGCTAAGGTCAAGCAGCTTCAATTGCTAACACATTCTACTGGATAACAGCACAAGAGTGGAGGTAAAAAGTGAGTGTGGTCAGGTATATAGTTCGTGTAACTTTCCACTTCAGGGCGAAACGGAAAATTACCAGGGGCCTTGATCCTTTTTCTCAACTTTGTGTTTTGTTGTATTCAAAAACATCAGCCCCCCAAATTGTATCTTCATTCCTTGCTAGTTCAAGTTTGATTTTCTATTTCTACTTGATTCACCCAGGTTTATAGAATTAAAGCAGTAAATTGGGAAAAAAAATCCCTAATGTTGCATACAAATCTATTTGTTGTAGTAAGTTAGAAAATGCTACATTATAAGCAAAGTAACTCCTCCATCCAAGCAGCAGCAGCCTGAAGAAGAAACAGGAAGGGAAAATAGAGGGAAGGACTGTGTGCTGCAGGCTTTGGCTTTCGAGCCTCGACTTGCAAATGGAATATCAGGGCAGGCTTACTTTTAACACATATTAACAGAGAACGAGATGTGTAAAAATCCCAAATCTTAATCACTGAATTAAGAATACATAGCCTTGATATTAAAACGCTGTGAGAGATTTACTATTTTAGCACTTACTTTAAAAAAAACAGTAACAACTGAATAACAGCAGATATATTTTGTCAGAGGAAAAAAACAATGAAGACATAAGTCACAGAGGTTTCAGTGGTGGCAGAAGAAAGTGGGGTCATGGTATTTTAGTGACGGCAGCATACCTGCCAGGAACAGTAGTGGATTTGAGAATGTCTCCAGGCAGGACCACCGAGAGGTCAATGTCTTTATCTACCATATTTTCATTTCGTTCTGCGATGACAGCAGTCGATTCTCCAGGCTCCTCAGAAGAAGAAACACCCATGCCCTTCGTCTCAGCAGGAGGAAGGGGCGCCTTCGCTTTTGGTTTCCTCCTGGAGTAAAAAGAAAACCCGGAAAATAAAATATCTTCAAAGAAGCTTTCTAGTATTATCTAATCTTATAAAACTCCCAAGTCTAAATTTAGATTATTTTCAAATCCGGGAAAAATCAGAATTTGTTAATTAAGAGACATGAAGTATAAATAGCCAATAAGCACATGAAAATGTTCATCAGTAGTCATCAGGTAAACAATCTAAAGTACAATAAGACTCTCCTACTCAGAATAGTGGATATTAATAAAAGTAAGAATAAACGATGCTAAGATGCGCAGGACAAGGAGCCCTTACAAGCAGGAAGTATGACTGTAAACTGGTCAAACCACTTTGGAAATCTGGACAAAGCTTCTGGGGAAAAAAAGACAGCAGACGACGGACTGTGTGACCCAGCGTGCCCCTCCCAGGTGTTTGTTCAAAGGACAGTAAGTCAACACATCATAGAGATCCTTCCCCTAGGAGAGTTACTGCGCAAGAGCCACACTGTGAAATCATGTTAAGTGTCCATCAAGAGGAATGCATAAAGAAAACAGGTATATGTACACATAACAGAATTTCATTCGGCTATAGGACCGGAATTATGTCACTTGTAATAAAACTGATACGCAACAGAAGATTTTAACATTAAGTGAATTCTGACTTGGAGAGACAAATAATGCCTGTTTCCACTCATTTGTGGACCCCAGCTTTTATACGGATACACAGAATCATTTCTCTGCACATGACCTAAAAGTAGAAACAACTATCTATGGGAATGGCGGTGACGACAAGGAGAGGGGAAAGAGGAGAGGAAGGGAGGGGAGGGCCAAGTGCGAATGCCATTCTATGCATGTATGAAACCGTCCTGATGAAAACCAGAGCCATCTACGTATAATGAATATACACTTTTAGAAGAAGACAACAGAATCTATACTGGTCTTCATGCAGTTTAGCAAATTGTCATTCCTAACACATTAAGAGTACCATTTCTGGTCTTTGATGCGGCTACATTAACAATGTCTCAGGATGGACTACTTACAGTACTATATACCTCACAAAGGCTCCCGAGTCTGCCATTCTTTCCACTCTAGTATGCCCTACCTCTCAATCCAGATAAACCTGATCTGTCCATTATAGTCTATCTTAGTTTACCCTCTGCTTCCAAACATGTACACAGAACTTCTTTCTTTGAACAGATGCAGCATATGCAACTGGATCTCTAAATCTCGCAATAATTTTCCTATTTTTTACTGGGTCCCATAAGACACTTTGGACTTTTGGACAATGCTAGAACTGTTAATATTATTGGGATTCTTTTTTTAAAAAAAATATTTATTTATTTATTTATTTATTATTATACAATATTCTGTCTGTGTGTACGTCTGCAGGCCAGAAGAGGGCACCAGACCTCATTACAGATGATTGTGAGCCACCATGTGGTTGCTGGAAATTGAACTCAGGACCTTTGGAAGAGTAGACAATGTTCTTAACCACTGAGCCATCTCTCCAGCCCCTATTTTTGAGATTCTTACAAATGAACTAAATGCCTTTTGTGTTATGAGACGGCCACGAGCCTTTGAAGACCATGAGTGTGGGTTATGGCTTAAACAAGGTTTGATTGTCAGGCTGACACGGGGATAGACTTGTAATTGGTTAATATTCACAGTTAGCATGGGTAGACTTAAAATCACCTATGAGGAATAACTTCTTGGTGTTTTGCTTAAAAATAAGATCAAGTGTAGGACTGCCTGAGAGACAGACCTATGGGTAGGCCTGTGAAAGTGTTTCCAGAAAGATTTATCCGAGGAAGGAAGACCCATCCTTCTATGGATGGTGCCATCCCAAGGGCTGGGAGGAGAAACCAAATGAAATAAAAAAAAAAAAAAAGCAAGGAGAGCTGGAGCCTGCAAGATCACATCCCCCTCCTGACTGACCAAGGATGCCATGGCCTCCCCTCCCTGCCATGATGAACCATACTTCCTTAAGTCGCTTCCATAGGTGTTTTGCCACAACAAGAAGAGTAACACGATTATTTTGTAAATTCCAAATTGGCTGTAATGAACTTTCACAAATAATTATACTAATGAATTGTTTCAGTGTCAAAAGGACAATGGGGCTACTTGGGCACCCTAAAAACAACTCCTACAGAACCAAATGGCAGGTGTGATGAGCTTTAAAACAATAAAATGTGGGGGAAAACCTGTAACTAATCATTTTTTAAATATTTAAATAAAATTAACTTTAAAAGTTTAAATATATTATTTTAAAATAAATAATAAATGATTGCAGGGCCAGAGAACGAGTTCCAAGATTCCGAGCACTGGCTGCTCTTCCAAAAGACCTGGGATCCATTTCCAACATTCACAGGGCAGCTAGCAACCACCTGGAACTCTAGTTCCGGGAGCTGTGACACCGTTCCCGGGTCTCTGCGGGCAGCAGGCATGCTGGCAGTGCACAATCGTATGTGTAGTAAAATGTTTTACACATAAAAACAGCACTTCAAAAACTATTTGCTTTGGGAGGAAGAAAACTATTTTCTTTCAGGAAAAATATAAACTTTAAGTCCATGTTTCCTGAGAAAGTGTAAGAACCACACAAGATACATATACCACCCTCCCCACTCAATGTAGAACTTCCTAGGCTGAGCGCGTCCTGTCAGTTAGTGCTGGCTCCAAAGGGGACCCATTCACAAAATGAGGGTGTGTCTCTCCGGTTCACTTACTCCATCCTCCACAGTCTGATCTATGAAAAGAACACCAGGAGGAGGCCTGGATTTGGCCTGAATCTTAAATAGCTTCAATACTTTAACTTACATGACCTTTCATTTATCAGCAGAAAATTTCAAGTGCTTTTTGGTTTAACCTGCTGACTTCTCCCAGTGTTCATGTTTTGACGACATGACATGAATCGGCAGAAGAACTGAATGTCACCCAAGCCAAGTAAAACAATACCTAACTATAGATTATAGGCTATCTAAATGCAGAAAATTCTAGTCATGGAGAAGGAAGGGAGAAAGATGGGGAGGGAAAGAAGAGAGAGAAAACAGCCAGACACAGGCATTTAATAACTACCATCTACAAATGCGAGTCTTTATTACCATTTATCTTGTGAGGTGTTCATATGCAGGCATGTTTGCATGTGTGGGTGTGAACATACAGATGCAGATGCACACACGGGTCTCTGCACAGAGACCCAAGGTTGAAGGCGGGAATGTTCCTCCATTGCTCCTACCACATCATTACTGAGGCAGGACCCCTCATTTGTGCCGTCTTTATAATCAGCTTTTTCTTGGGATCCCTGCCTCTGTTTCCTGGGGTTGGGATTACAGAAAGGCCACTGTGCCCTCCCCACATTTCATATATGATTCTGGAGATCTGAACCCCAACCTTTAAGAGTCACCAGCAGGTACTTTCATTGCTGATCATCTCCCCAGACCCTAGTTTCCGGTAGTGTACTGAAATTATAGTTTCATATCTGAAGAGATGGTATGACCGTGAAGAGCATCTGTTGCTCTTGCAGAGAACCTGAGCTGGGTTCTCATTCAGATCTGGCATCTTACAACCCATTAACTCCAATCTCAGGGCATCAAACAGCCTCTTCTTAATTGTTTCATGGGCACTTGAACTCATGGACACACACATAATAATTAAAAATAATAAACATAAATCTCAAGATGATAATTATTATCAATACAGTCCCACAACCCACTGGCTGACTAATTTTGATGCTCAGGATCAAATTCATGGCACTCAGCAATTAGAAATGAGTTCCACTACAGGGTTAATTCCCAGCTGTGCCCCAAAGCTTCTAAAGAAGAATACTGAGCGGTTTTCACGATAGCTCTTCTTTACCAGTGGCATAGTGCAGTTCCCTCTGCTCAATCATCAGAGCAGCTCTCCTTGGCAAATCTCAGGGATAAAAGAATGTACAAAAGAAATAAAAATGTATCTGAGACCAAAAAAAAGTGCCCCAGACTAGATGGAAAATTAATCCTTAAAATTAGCACACCATAGTAAGTCACTATGGAATTATTTCTTTTGATTTTGAAAAAATTACATTTATTTACTTAAGAAGAGGTAGGGAGACACAAACACGCCACAGAGGTCAGCTTTTAGGAGTCAGTTCTCGCCTTTCAACTAAGTAAATCCTGCGGCTTGAACTCATACCAGTGTGGCAGCAAGTGCTTCTACCAGCTGAGTTATTCCAGCGGCCCAAATTATTGTACTACGTAATGATTTTCACAAGGGAAGCTCTAATTCCAAATACCTAGCATATCACTTTTCTGTGCTAAAACACCTAACAGAATCAAGGGAAGGAAAGACGGGTTTATTTGGGCCCTAAGCCTGAGGATCCATCAGGGTGCAGGCACCGCAGAGAAAGTGGTACTAGCTGTGGCAGCAGAGGGGCTGGTCACATTGTGTCTTCCCACACTCATGGAGTCAAGGAGAGAGATGAACACCAGTATTCATGTCTGGTAACTTTGTCTGGGTCCCCAGCCTCTGGGATGGTACTGTCCACAATCAGTGTGGGCCCTCCTTCCACAGCTGAACCGTTCTGGAAACACAGACACATTCAGAAGTACTTCAGGTGATTCTAAAGGAAGTCTAACTAATCACCACACCCAACGATACATTTTTAAAATACCAAAACATCAGTTGAACTCATATTTCTCCTGGCATCCTACAACTAACACTGTTCTTTCCATCTTCTCTACAACACTTCAAATCCTGTGTCCAGCAGGATCCTAACTCCAGGACAGTCAAAACTGAGACCCCTAAAAGATGAAGAAGAAACAGACACTCAGCAAAATGACAGAATTAAAATCAAATGTCTCTTCTTCATTTCAGAGAAAAAGTGAGAAAGCCATCTGAGATTCAGCAGCTCCTTGGGGGAGTTTCTCAGCTCAATGAAGTAGCATCTCTGCTTTATTATGCTGCCTAATGTTCTTGCAGATTTAGCTTTGCCATTAAAGACACGGGCATGGAAATACAACTCAAGACAACAGCCTTTGAATCAGTGCA